ATATTTTACCTAGTTTAATTTTTAGTTTGATAATGAGGATAACTACCTTTCTCCTAGCAGTGCTTTAAGTTTTTTTGATATCTTGGTCTTGTACACAGTTCATCAAATTTATCACCAGTCTTGTACTGTCTATATAAGTATATATATTGACAAATCCATGAGTTACTCCTGAGGCATAATCATGACATCTACAAAGACAGTTTTCTTTGAAATCTCTTTTCTTTTCTGGATTGCTTTTATACACTGACTAGATCTCTGATGAATTACTAGTTCATATCCTGCCTTTTTCTTTTGCTCTCAGAAATGAAACTATACAGAAGTGTTCCCCTTTCTATGCACACAAATGCATACGTTGAAGTTCTGATGTCTGATGCTAACTACCTTAGAATGTGACTAATTGCAATATTGTTTAAGGAGGGTCTTATTATAGACATTAGGGACTATAAGACTGTCTTTTTAAAAATAAACGAGACAAAGGGATGGAGGGTAGGAAAAAAGAGGAAAGAGAGGAAAGAGAGAGCGCAATGTGAAGTCAAATGGAAAAAGTCATTCATCTATAAGCGACAGTGATTAGTCTGGAAGAGATTGTGCCTTTAAAGTTCTCTGGTGAAACCAGATCTGAAAGAAAGTCCAAGACTTTGAATTTGGACATCTAGCCTCTGCAAGTCTGAGACAATACATTTTTGTTGCTCAAGTCCTTCAATTTGTGGTAGTTTATTATGGGAGTTCTAGCAAATAGACAAAGAAAATTTTCATCAATAAGAGTAACATTAGCTCTCAGATTTTGCAATTGGTTTTCATTAGGTTGGGAGCGATAGCACAGCGGTAGGGCATTTGCCTTGCACGCAGCCAACATGGCCGACCCGAGTTCGATTCCTCCGCCCCTCTCGGAGAGCCCGGCAAGCTACCGAGAGTATTCGATATGCCAGACACAGTAACAACAAAGTCTCCAATGGAGACGTTACTGGGCCCGCTCGAGCAAATCGACGATCAACGGGAGGGCCTTTACCTTTACCTTTACCTAGGTTGAAGTTTTAGTCACTGTTTTCTCATACATATAAATTTTCATTTTTCTTCTCTATCCTTTGAGACTAATAAAGTTGAGGGCTGAAGTGTTTTTCGGTTTGATCCCAATAGTGCTCAGGGGTTGCAGATACCACTCCCATACACTCAACCAGGTTGGCATTTTAGTAGTTCAGTGTGCTAGGGCCGTTGGATTCAGTGCTCCTCAGGTTGGGGGGGCCTACAGGGACTCACCATACAATCAGCAATGCTCAAGAGGTCAAACGTTGCCAGGATTTGAATCCAAGTCAGGGCTTTGGGAGCCTTGTAGATGCCCCGGCCTACTGTCTTCTCAGCCTCTAACAAGTGAAATCACTGTGAATTTTATCCATAGATTGCTGAAAGTTTTAAAAAACTTCCGCCTAGAAATAAACTCCATTTTGTAAAAGGTCTAGCATAACATTTCATATAGGTGAATAGGAATTGCCTTATTTTCCAAAGATTTCTGTATTTGTGTCCATAAGATACATTGACTCGCAGTTTCTCTTTTTCAAATAGCCTTTGTCAGGGTTATGTATGAACAGTATTTTATTCTTCTTGAATATTTGTAAATGTGATGACTAGATTGTATCAGGTAAAGGTACCTTTAATTTTATAGGAAACTTCCTCAACCCATTTTGCAAAGCGACTTTACCATTTTGTACTTCCAACTTTCAATGTTTTGAGATCAGCAGCTGCTACAAATGGTTGACATTCTTGGTATTAAGAATTTTTATTTTTTAAGCCTTTCAAATAGGGGTACAGCATTTCTTGAGGCTGAACTTCGCATTTGTCTATGCTCATTAGTCAGCTAAAATGTTTTGGTGATAAGTCTTCAAAATTACTACCCATTTAAAAAAATTCTTACTAGTTTAAATATTCAGTATAGCATCCTTTATTTAGATCCATGCTTTGGAAACATTTTTTTCCCGTCTGTGGCTTACATTTAGATTTAAGTGCAACTTTTTTTTTATCTGCTGCTTTAGTAGGTTATATTTACTGATTTTCAAATTATGAATTACACTGCATTTCCCCAAACTTCATCTGGCCATGATTTTCCTTTTTTACAAACTGCTTGAAAACACTTGCTAATATTGTGCTTAGCATTTTTGTATCTATGCTGATAAGAAATAGTGAAACAGACTTTTGTAGTTTGTCTTGTTTATCAGTATCAAGAGTAATGTTGGCCTCAGATTTAAAGTATTCTGTTAGTTCGTTCAGTGTCTAGCTGAACTCACTAGTGAAACTATCCAGACCGGTGGTTTTCAATTTTATACTCAAAATAATAGATGTATTATACAAGACCATTCCCACTCATCATCAAAAGGCATTATCGGGCCACTCCATTTTACTACACGGTCCAGGCATACCATGAGTGACAATGACATTTTGACAGATCTAGAGGACATTTCTAAGAATAAGCACTGGCTGACAGACCTTGAAAATGACTAACCAAGATTGCAAATTTTCTTTCCAGGAAGACTTTTAACTATACATTTATAAAACAAAAACAAAAAACAAAAAAACAAATATAGAACAATTCAAATTCCTAGTTCTAAAATAGATTTTATAGTTTATTAATTACTAACAAATTGTTCATTTTCAGTAAGTGGTCAAATATATGAAAACATATTTGTTCAAAATGTAGTACTATGTCCTTAAGATTTGAAGGAGCTCTGCTGCTGCTTCTTCTTCTAACTTCTTCTTTTAACTGAATCATTGTGAATTACAAAGTCACAAAGAAATTTGTATTGAGTTTCAGGCACACGAAGCTCCAACTCCAGTCCCTCACCAGTGTTTACTACCCTCCACCAATGTTTCCAGTTTCCCTCCCACTTCCCTGCTCGCTTGTGGCAGCCCATTTCCCCTCCCCAACAACCTAGTATTCCCTTCCCTAACCTATCCTCCAACTCAATCCCCCAGTCCCACCCCAATGGCAAGCTTCCTACTGAAGACTAGTTCTTCTTCATTTCTAGTGCCTTGAAGCATTTGATATCCCCGTACTATGTTTCTATATATCCTGCATAACATTCTGAGTCTCTTGCTCTCCCTCTGGCTGATTTTACTCAATGATACTCTCCAGATCCATTAGTCCTGTTAGCACACAAAGCTGCTTTATTCACAATATTCATAAAATCAAACCCCAATGTGTTGATACTATAACCTGCTACCTTATTAGACTCATTTCTCTTTTCCCTTAAGAATCCTTAATAGTTGTCAATTCTCACTATGTTAAATTCTTCTCTATGATGCTGTAGAGTATCTCTTTTCTTCCATTCATCAAGGTTAAGATCACAAATTGTGCTGAACCCAACGGTCTAAATCCAGAACTCATCTTTCTGGCATCAACAGGTATGATATATTTGATTACAACTTCCTATTTAAGATTCTTTTCTCATTTGGCTGCTAATTCATCCTCACTCTTAACTGTTCTTAACCTACTTGACATCTGAACATAATAAACATGTTTTAGAATTTACTTCATATTTCTAGCTCCTATCTTCAAAGGTCTCATTGATAAGGTATGGAATAAATTTTATATCTGATATTAAAAATATACCTAAATTTTACCACTAAAAATAATTTTACTGAATAATTTTGTTCAGGAAAAATTTATATCTTTTAGTGATACTGACAAACTCTGGGGGTAAAATAGAGGACTAAGTTAGAGGAAGCACACAAATACTCTAAACCGTTTCCACTATTAAGACACTAAATGAAACAAAATCCAAAACTCATACCTAGACAAACCACTCTTATAAATACTGACAATAACATAAGATAACCACTGAAAAAGTTGTGTATCAAGGTGCACACTGGTATCAAGAAAGGAAAAAGTGTGACTTGTAATTACAAAGGAAATTTATACTTAGTAGGATAAAATCCTTTAGTAAAAACTTTTATATTAGTATCAAAATATACTTTCTTTCATATAAAGAATAAAAGATGAAGACGCTTTATAGGAAAAAAATAATTTATTATATATGAAGTGTTTAAAATACATGTAACATATCTTCAATAAACCAATTTGAATGCATATAGCTTTAATTTTTAAATACACTTTAGGTTATTACGCACAGTTCCACAGTCCAGATAGTCATTTCTTCTCCTCAAAGCTGGAAAGTACTTGAAAGATACGGAATTCAAAAGGAACCTAAAATATCATAAAGATTTTCATTAAAAATAATCATAAATATAAAATAGTTCACTAATGAACTAAAGGCTACAATGTTTATACTTAGAAAATTAGTGAATCACGTCAGTGAAAAAAGTTTAAATGTCTATATAGAAACTGATTTGTAAATTAAAAGTAAACAACATTTTAACTGTGCTTATTTATAAGAGCAACTTCAATGTCCAAAATGATTTATCCTCTTAGGACCACAATAATAGAATTTGAATTGTTTTTCATAGTGCTAATAGCAAAGTTTCTTACAAAGAAATAATGATCTTTTTTTAAAAACCAACTCTGTCCCAAAAAACTGAAGGGTTAGGTTGCTATTACAAAATTAAAAAAAGAAAAAAAAAAGTATCTGAACTGTTCCATCATTAGAACTACTACATGAATCTTGAAATTAGATTCTTGATTCCATTACCAGAAATTCTGATTAAAGTCCAGGAATATTTATGTGTATTAATTCTTCCATAATGGTTCTCAATCTTCGTGGTATATTTGCTCGAGCGGCCCAGTAACATCTCCACCGTGAGATTTGTTACTGTCTTTGGCATATCGAATACGTCACGGGTAGCTTGCCAGGCCTTGCTGTGCAGGCAAGATACTCTCGGTAGCTTGCCAGGCTCTCAGAGAGGCAGAGGAATCGAACCCAGGTCAGCCGGGTCGGCCACGTGCAAAGCAAACAGCCCTACCCACTGGGTTATCGCTCCATTTGGGAAATATAAAAACACTGTTATACATGTTGTATTCCAAACAACTAACTCATAATTCTGGGGCGGAATCTAAGGGGTGGATATGTGTATGTGTGTGTTTGCATCATTTCAATTTCTTTTAATTCAGTATTAAAGTTCACCAGATCATTTCATTGTGCAGCCAAGAATGGAAACCCGTTCTGGGTGATTCAGTTCATCAACCAGTCTGCACACCTTTCATGTAACATACCTACCAGTATTTGTTTTTTCCCCACAGAATGTACTACTCTGAGTCAACATTATATCTTCTCCCCACAGCTATCCTTGTTTCTTTTGATTTGTTTAGAAGGATTAATAAAAATAAAAATATTCCTATGCGCTATCTCAAAGGAAATTTCAATTTATAAGGTCTGATTATCAGATACAAGGTCTGCTGCTCTTGCTAAAATTTACATAAAAATACACTTTAATTTTCAATGTATGTACTTTTTAAAAGAAAAACCCTTTCCCCTTTTTCACAATATGTTATACAGAATACTAAGTGAGATACATCATAAACCAGAAAATGCTACTGAATTAGATTTAGAAAATATAAAAATAGAACAAGACTAAATTCTGTGTCAAAGCATATGCATATATTCTTCAAGTAAATAAATTGACCTGATTCACTAACTTTCCTGGAAAAATAAATAACTTAAAGGACAGCATACGACATTCAGCAACGTCTCTAAAAGTAAAAACCACACTTTTTCAATCAACAGGTAATTTAAGAAATATTTCATTTGGACAAATCTTTTAAAAGCATTAATTGCTTAATCTGGATCAATAGGTGGGAGAGGGACAAAACATTTCTAGGGAATTCAAAAACCGGTGCCCCAAAAAGGATACAAGAAAGGATACACTTTGTATGACAGTATTACAGCAGTATTTACGCAGGAATGCTTCTAAAGAAGAACAGCAGAATGCATTATAATTGTTTCTTTACTTTTCAATTTATATTTACAATAAATGATTTAATATACACTAACACCTGTTTGACTGTTCCTTTAAGGTAACTCATTAAGACTATATCTGTATAGATACTGCAGAATGAAATTCAAATACCAAGGCATCTCACAAAAGGAAACAGTGAGTAAAATTCTTTAACTATATTGATTTTCCAGCTTAGCACCAGTAATTGACCCACTTATACTTTATGTACAACTATTTTACAATAGCAGATCTGAAATAAAATTGAAATGTAGTACATATCCACTCATCTTTAAGTCAAACACCAACACACTTTAACATGTTAAATCTGCCACTAAAGAACTTTAAATCACTTTCGTAAGCGATAGAATTACTTATTTGAAAAATGACTTCACCCCATAAAAATATGCACTTAACTCTGTGAAGTATAAAATTAAATAATTTGTAATACAAATTGTCAGGTCCTAGCAGGTGATCCAATTGGTTTGGTGGACACTACCACTTCTAAGACTCATGATACCTCTGTTGTGACCAGAGGTCCTGTCCAAATACTTAATTCTGTGAGAGGACCTAGTGAAACCTAGCAATCTGTATTTTATTAAGCCTTTCAGATGATTATACTAACAGTCAAGTTTTTTTTTAAGCACTGAATTAATCTAAGCAGAAAAATAAAAATCAATAGACACATTCCCCAAATAAAATCCATTCTCCAAAATTAACTTTACATATGAATGGGGTTTAATCTGTAATTTTGAAATATAATAAAAATGAACTACATAAAAGTGAGAAAGGCAGAAAAAATGAGGAGTGATTGATGGATGCTTGCAAAGCCTAAAAAAAAAAAACCTGAATTATTTCTCTGAGGCTTTTAATATTCCTTAAATTTATCTCATAAATCCTTGTTCTTTAATCTTGCCATAATATCCACACTTACCTTTACCAATTTTTATCATTTTCTTTTTCCAGCTTTAGAATCTTGCTTTGGTCTAGCAGATCGAGCAAATTGCTAGTATAAAAATTAAGGCTCCTTAACAAACAGGAAAGCGGTCTTTAAAAAATAACATAACTTCCTAATAAGGCCCTCCCGTTGATCGTCGATTTGCTCGAGCGGGCCCAGTAACGTCTCCATTGGAGACTTTGTTGTTACTGTGTCTGGCATATCGAATACTCTCGGTAGCTTGCCGGGCTCTCCGAGAGGGGTGCAGGAATCGAACTCGAGTCGGCCATGTTGGCTGTGTGCAAGGCAGACACCCTACCCGCTGTGCTATCGCTCCAGCCCAACTAACTGGAGCTCCAAGTTATGCTCCAGCCCGATAACTTCCTAATATAGAACAGAAATTAAAAAAAAATATTTTCCTACTCCCAGTTATTTTAATAACTCCTACCTTCTCTCTCTGATTTGTGGAAGAGGTAAAAATGTACATTTATTTTGTGAGAGGAGACTGATGGGGTTAGGAAGGAAATTGGGACTATAGCTCTTAAATAATGCTGAGGGTCTGGGCCATTCACAGTGGCCCGCTGACCAGTAGGACAGTTGGGAACACTGGAACCCAAGCACGTGGCGGCTGTTTAGGTCTTGTGCTGCTGGACTCTATGTCCATCAGAATATCTTGAGGTTGTTTGAGGTCCTCAGAGGCTGTCCAATGTTTCAGAGGACAGGAGGGGGTGGTGGGTTAGTATATCAAGAATCAGGTGCACACACCAAATCTGTCCTGTACTATCTCCTTTGAGACATGAATTGAAATATGAAACAAAAATTTAATATATTATTTTTCTTCCATAATTTCAAATGTATTTCAGAATACTATAGTCGTGAATTTTATCAAAAGTATGAAAGTCTACTTAATGAAAGTATATATATCTGAAAGTATGTACTTTGAGTTGGGTCCGTAAAACATTTATACCCAGTATAAATTTAATCATGTCATGCAGCTGAAGAAAACTAGTCATTTAATTCTGTATTTGTAGCTGAATAGCTATTTTCACTAACTCTCTTCTAAAAACTAATCAGTCACTGATAGATTTAAAGGATACAACCACCATAGGTTTTCCAAGGAGTACATATCCATTAGCTTCCTTTAACGCTTTTGCTGCTGCTTTTTCATTTGGAAGACCAATAAAAGCCTGTCCTTTCATACGACCTTCCTTCATCAGGCGTATGTCAAACCTAGAAGAGTTAAGAAAACTTTGCTTCAAAAACTGTCAAACAATTCTGATAAAATTAATATGAACATGACAAACATTACTTAACTTTATAAAATTACATTTTACAATCTGTTCTAAAATTATTTGCAAAATGAGAATATAAGTTTGATGTCCTTATTACTCCATATTTTATATTATCTATTATTTAATTTTTAAATAATTAAATAATTTAAAATTAAATAATTTTAATATAGCACGGCAATAGCACAGTGGTAGGGCGTTTGCCTTGCGTGCAGCCAGCCCCGCCGAGCAGGATTCGATTCCTCTGCCCCTCTTGTAAAGCCTGTTATGCTACCGAGAGCACCTCACCCGCATGGCAAAGCCTGACAAGCTACCCGTGACGTATTCAATATGCCAAACACAGTAACAACAAGTCTCAAAATGGAGACGTTACTGGGTGCGTTTGAGCAATCTATTACTTAATATATTACAAGCAACTATAGAAGAAAACTTATCTCTATTTAAAAAAAAAATACATGCAGACAATACTATATAGTAACCAAAAAAAAAAAAAACACAAAAAAGAAACGCACAATTTCAAAATAGGAAGGTACCTTTTTAATCATCTAGTAAAAACCATAACCTTGCTGTAACACCTAAAGAAACTAAGTGACTTCTAGATTACAAGAACTGCTGAAATTAAAGAAAACCATAAACCAGATTTTATATTCTAAGTGTAGTGTTCTATAATACCATAGAGAACTTATTCAACATTTTGAGAGAAAATTATATTCAGAATTACCTAGAAATACCAGGCTATCATTTATAGCTTAATTACTACATACCAGATAGTCTACAAGTTTAGCAAAAGCTAGGGCTTTTTTAAATTAAAGGAATCTCCATTAATTTTTTTTCAATTTAGAATTGAAATCAAATCCTAATTGTTAGCAGTATTGAAAGTAAAAAGTATATTGCTTTTACTCTACCTTCAATATGAAAAAAATAAAACACATTAAATATATGTGTATTTTTTCCTTAAAAATATCAAGGGCAGCAGAAAAACCAAGGACCAGTATTTCTATGAAAAGAAAGAAACCTTTGGGGCTTGCTCTTCAAGAACGTGTTCACCCTTGAACACATATCTCATTTGTTGTCTTCATGTTTCTTTGCCTATTTATACCCTTAAAATCGGCTGTGTTCTCTCTCAAACATGCACTTCTCCCTCTCTCTCTCTTCACACATCTTTCTAATGTTTCGATAAAAATTTTCCTTCACCTTGGGGGTATGCTGCCACCAGCAGGTCAATCTGTACCTGTGAGGCGAGTGCATCAGCAGCCTGATGGCGACTTCAGACTTCCAGATACCCCAAAATTGCTGCTGTGCCTTTGGCCAGATAGTCTACAAGTTTAGCAAAACTTTCCCCAAAAAACTTGGGGCAAAGTTTACCAAGAAAGTAAACGGCCAAAAGTTAGGTATGTGGGAAACACACCCACAAACCACCTCCGGCTCAGCTATATAATTGGAGGCAAGGCCTCTTTTGGTTCCTGATTGAACTGCTTAATGGCCATGATCCCAGAGACTCAGAAACAAATCTCGAAACCCAGTGGCTTTTGGCAGAAATGTGTCCGGTCCCTGCAGTAGGTTACCAGTGCTGGGCCAACCCAGGTGGGAATAGGTTTCGTGACTTGGCCTGTTCCCCCTGGCTGCCCGGTGGCCGCCATCCTCCGGAGCCACTGGAAAGTCAGGTTTGGGCCCGCAGTGACGAGACACGCAGGGCCTTACGGGATGGGGGTGGATCCGGTCCTGCCCTCCCCACCCCAACGAGACCCCAAGTCATCGCCCACAAACGGCCTCTCCTGATCAAGCTACTTAACGGGCATGATCCCAGAGACTCAGAAACATATCTCGAAACCCAGTGGCTTTTGGCAGAAACGCGTACCCCGCAGGAGGTTACTGTCGCCGGGCCACCCCAGGGGGTAAAAGGTGTTGTCACTCCGCCTGTTCCCCCTGGGCGGCTCGGTGGACGTCATCCCCCAGAGGCCACTGGACAGTCAGGTTTGGGCCCGCAGTGACGAGACACGCAGGGCCTTACGGGATGGGAGTGGAGCCAGTCGTGCCCTCCCCACCCCAACGAGACCCCAAGTCATCGCCCATGAATAGCCTCTCTGGCTCCTGATCAAGCTGCTTAACGGCCACGATCCTAGAGACTCAGAAACAAATCTCGAAACACAGTGGCTTTTGGCAGAAATGTGTCTGGACCACGCAGTAGGTCACTGTCGCCAGGCTACCCTAGAGGGGAAAGGGTGTTGTTCCTCTGCCTGTTTCCCCCTGGCGGCTCAGTGGCCATCATCCTCCAGAGGCCATTGGACAGTCAGGTTTGGGCCCTCAGTGAAGAGACACGCAGGGCCTCATGGGATAGGGGTGGAGCCGGTCCTGTCCTCCCCACCCCAACGAAACCCCAAGTCATCGCCCATGAACGGCCTTTCTGGCTCCTGATCAAGCTGCTTAATGGCCATGATCCCAGAGACTCAGGAGCAAATCTCGGAATCCAGCAGTTTTGCAGAAATCCCTCCAGATTTAAGTTTTAAAAATTTCAAAATTTTAAAATCGCGCAGCCGCTACTGCAGCCACGCGACATCATATGTTATTCATAACCAGCAACAGAAAACAAATTGTCTGCTGTTGCCTTTTCAGTAGATCTGAGTGTTGGGGTAAAATCTCAAATAATAATGGTGGGAAATAATAATGGTGGGTCTGGTGTCAAAATACTGAATGTGATCAAAATAGAGAGAGAGTGTAATGTGGAAATCATCTGCCCACAGGTAGGGGGAGGGTGTGGAATGGGGATATACTGGGGCTGCTGGGGGTGGAGAATGGGCACTGGTGATGGTATGGGTGCTTCATTGTATGACCGAGACTTGGACCCGAAAGCTTTGTAACTGCTCTCATGGTGATTCAATAAATAAAATTATAAAAAATGAAAAAAAAAGTACGGTGGAGTTCATGCACAATTCAATCAGCTGATCAGTGGCTGAATAAATAGCAGCACACTTACATAAAAAAAAAACTTCCTTCACCAAAAATAAAGAATGAATGAAAGAAAAAGAAAGAAACCTTCGGTATCCCTATAATGAGCTACCCGTCACTAGTATATATGTTGAGAATTAAGACATGGTGCTATCAGTATATAGTTGTTTTATCTGGTATATAGGGCAGATAAAGATTTATTTCTGTTATTTCTGTTTGGGGGCTATACTCTGCAGTGTTCATGGCACACTGTACTCAAGGATCACTCCTGTATGACTCAGGGACCTTATGGGGAACCAGCAATCCACCCAGGTCATGGTAAAAGCGAATTCTTCACATAATTTCAATCTAAAGAAAAAATATAATATAAAAAGGAGTTTATTATTTTTCTTGTTTCCTTTCCTTTCGTGTTTTTTTTTGGGGCGGGGGAGGAAGCAGTGCGTGTTCTGGGCCTAACTATACTCAGGACTAAGTCCTGGCTCAGTTTTCAGGAAACACTCCTAGCAGGGCTCAGGTGGTCCTCTGTGATGCTGGGAAGCAAGCACTTGGCCTGTTCTATGTTCTCTCCAGTCTTACGAAAAGAGTTAATCTGTAACCACTAAAAACAGAAAAGAATTTGAGACTGCCACTTACATTATCCGTTGTGTTTCTGAAGAAAAATCAACATATCTTCCAAAAATAAACTTAAGATCCTAGAATTTCAAAGAGACAAATAAGTTCAGTCAAAAAAAAAAAAAAACCGTAGGGGAGCAGGGGATAGAAAGAATAATAAAATCAACTTAGAAATTTCAACTCACCTTTTCTTGAACATGTTTAGCTAAATTCTTTACATAAATTCTACAATTTGGTTCACCAGGTTCATAACTTCTGAATACCGAAAGTGTTTCCATTTCTAATAACAAAACAACAGGACATTAAAAAATTATATTTTCATCAAGGAAAATAATATAATATCCAATATAAATATCAAACAGAATACATTATAAAAAATGCTAATAATGCTGTGACTAATACAACACAAATTCCCAGGACTACAGAGTTCGAAATTAAGATGCATACCTGGCTTGCTACCGATCCTGGTTTAAAACCTGGCACCTTGAGTGGAGTCTTGCAGGCTCCTAGACACATGATCCATCCAACCAGCACTCTGCCTTCACTTGGACTCCCTGCACTGAACTACTAGTCTCTCCTTTGCATCACTTGAAATTCCCGGCCCCCGCAATAAGGGGGGGGGGGGGGAATCCCATGAAGTGGAAAACTTCAGAGAAAAAAAATTCATGCATCTAGAATAACTAAGTTTTACCCAATAAAATATCTAGTATAGGCTCCTTAAGACGTTATTTTATTAATCATGTGTATAAGTATTTTGCTTAAAGTCAATTTTCTGCCAGAAATATAACATATATCTCAAACTCCAAATGCCTGCACAGGTATTCCTCTTCACTATCACTAATCAGTTTCTGATAACTAGATATCCTATGCAAACATGCTGGCTAGAAGGCTATTCCCCTTATTTCTAGAAATAATGTGAAGTGTTTTATGTCAAAATTACAATGTTATATTTAAGAAAAAAATATTTTAAGGTATTAAACCAGAAAATATTCTTTAGAAGTAAAACTATGATGCTAGCACATAAAATCTTACAAAGATTTCTAATTACCAGTTAAAAATATTTTTAAAACAACTGCTTCCATATACATAAAGTAGTTCTAAGTTCATTATTAATAGCATATGGAATGTGGCACTTCACGCACATTCTTAAATGCCACACGAAAAGTTTGGTGATACAGTAAAATTCTTAAATATAGAAGAAACTAAATGGAAAGGTTCTTTCTTCCCAATTAAGTACAGATATAAAAGAATCAAAATCATCAAAAGCAGTGATTGAAAATTTTAGAGTGCTTCTAAATTTTTAACTGCAATAAGTAACAAGAAGCTTTGTTTCTGTAGGATCAAAGAAACAAAATGGTTATTTCATAAAATTACCTTCTCTAGAAATTCTGCCCTTCTCCAGCTCTCGTCTAGAAATACATTCGGATGGCATTTCATCAGAGTCTTCTCTCATCTCCTCTTCAATGCTCAAACTAGGTTTGGGGAAGATTTTTCCAAATCCTATATTGGATGTATCAAATTTAATAGCAGGCTAATTTCAGATTACTTGGTCTTTTTTAAAATTTTTGTTTTTTTTGCTTTTTGGGTCACACCCAGTGATGCTCAGGGGTCACTCCTGGCTCTGCACTCAGGAATCACTCCTTGGCGGTGCTTGGGGGACCATATGGGATGCCGGAGATCGAACCCAGGTCAGCCGCGTGCAAGGCAAACGCCCTACCCGCTGTGCTATCGCTCCGGCCCCTCAGATTACTTTTAATACAAACCATTAAACATAGACTTTCTACTAATTACTTTTGGCTTTCATTTAGAAAAAATTTATGGTATCTTTTGAACTAAACTTTCTTAGTGTTTTTCTTAGTATGTTTCTTTAAAACAAACAAGGATAGGCAAACTTTCTGTAAAAGTTCAAATAGTAAACACTTGAAGTTTACAGGCAAAATGTTTCTGCCATGACCATTTAATTCTCACATTATGAAAACAACCATGGAAAAGAACAAAATAACCAAGATTATTATGTTGTATGGTGAGTATGTGTGGTATGTGAATGCGCAGTGTGGGGAACGGCAACTAATTTTCAACAGTAAATGAGATGTGAGATGAGCATCTAAGTAAAATGTTTACTGGAAAACATGTAGAATGTGTTAAAGAGGCAATAATCAATATTTTGGGTTAATATACTCATTCTGAACTATTACTGTATGAAATTTTAAAAATTAAATCATCATCAAAGCATTCAGCTAAGATGATGTAGTTATTCAAGATGAAATACACATTTACTAGGAAGACATCACAGTACATCGAATTACTGTGAATGAACCTTCACCTTTTTCATGTATTAAATTAAGGTCAGTGAGTTTTCCTGAAACAAACATTAAAAAACACACTTCCAACCGAGGATACTAAAATACTACTGACTCTCCTCACATTAGAAATAAATCAATCATAATCTTGGCCCTACAGGAAATAAAGAGCAGTTATTCATTCAACTAAGAAAATTTAAAAATGTGAATTTTAGTTTGGATAACAACACAATGAACTGCATTCAGAAATAATGAATTTTAGCTCTGGCAAAAATTAAAATGTCTCTTAGGAAAGGGTTGACAATAATAAAGCTAAATATGCATTAACAAAGTCTTACTTAACACTACGTTAAAAAAAATCAAAAAATACCTAAACATCTGTGAAAATTATACAAAGAACATTGCACATTAAGATTATAGAAGTCTCTTCATAATGTGGAAAAACAACATTGAACAAACAGATCTGTGAAGAGCTGTCATTTGAAAGCATAATACTTTTCTATTTCTACTGGTTACTTCAATAATGTTATTAATAAATATTTAAAAAGATTAGGATGATAGTCTCCCTTCTCATGTTAGTCTGTGTCCTTGAGTAAATTAGGCATATACAAAATTAAAAATATATCGAGAGTGAAGACGTGAGATAAAATCCTAGGAATAAAAATATTGAAATAAAAGTTATCGGAAAAGGCAATGGATGTTCAAAAAAACCATCTAAGCGAAAGAAATTAAAGTCAATTATAGTCTTTCATTCCCTACATTTGCAATATTTATTATAACTCCATCTTATATTAAAAGAAATGTTAAAAGACAGTACAAAACATACTACCATTAGTACATTACTCTTTAATACATTTAGTATATAACACAAATAGCAAAAAAAACACCCCAAAAAAACTCAATCAATAGAATACCATTAAATACACAGATAAACTATAAAGAGATATTCTAGTTTTGTGTGTTCTTACATACTAACAGAGACGATGAAAAATTTGTCTTCAAATTAGGGCTAGCACAGGATCTATAATCTACCCATTTAGTTAAGTCATAACTGAATGAATCTATCACAAATACTATGTAAATTATGACATATAAGGAAAGGAAAAAGTCAACACATTTCACTAACTGCAGAAAAAAGTCAAAATTTATCTATATAAAAAAAAGGTCATCTCTGAGTTATCTCTTAAGTGGGATAGCAATCAGTGAGTTTCAAGAACTAACTTTTTACAATTTTACTTTATGTGATCCCATTTTGAGTAAATTTAGTGAAAAAATTTTAAGAATAAAGAAAAAGTAAAGGTAAAGACCCTCCCGTTGTTCGTCGATTTGCTCGAGCGGGCCCAGTAACGTCTCCATTGGAGACTTTGTTGTTACTGTGTCTGGCATATCGAATACGTCATGGGGAGCTTGCCAGGCTCTGCTGTGTGGGTAAGATACTCTCGGTAACTTGCCGGACTCTCCGAGAGGGGCGGAGGAATCGAACTCGGGTCGGCCATGTTGGCTGCGTGCAAGGCAAATGCCCTACCACTGTGCTATCGCTCCGGCCCAAGAATAAAGAAATGCCACGTTATTATAATACAAAGTTAATGCCTAAGATTAGTTATTAGAATACACTATTATAATACAAAATTAATTCCTAAGGTTACTCTCAAATTGTCTTCATTTTAACCAATAACAAATTAATAAAAACTTAAAATATCATACAAACAAAATAACAAAAAGGTCAACAGTTAAAACCATAAATCACAATATTTTTAGTTTAATATCACTTTTTAAAAGTAATGACATCTGAGATAACAATTAGACTCATTTGTACATGAGACTAATTTTTACCTTAGATGTCATTACTTTTAAAAATCGACATTACTTCACCATAAAACAATGATTTTAGTTACAAAAAACATTCAGAGATCTGTTAAGAGTGAGAATGAAATGAATACAGATCCCAAACATTAAAATATAGATACACATTGCAAATTTTAATTCAAAAAAACAAAGTTGATTAAGAATGTCTACATAGTACCATAAAGAACTAAAATATACTTACCACAATTTTGTTCCTCAAAAGTTTGTTCTTTGTTTAAATCTTTCTTAAATGCAGCTGGCATATCAGTAGATATATGGAATTCAATTTTTTTATTACCCACAGGTTGTGGCTGGTCAAATACATCGGAAGGTAACAATACTGGATGCATATTGCTATTTATAAACAAACAGTATTTCTTTGAATTTTTAAATTAAAACATGAATAAAGCAGTTATTTATATTAAATTTAAGAGGGTAAGGTTGAAACAATGTACAAAGATTTTAATCAGTAAACCCTAAGTACCTTTCTAAACTATACTATTAAATTCTTAGTTCAGATGACATAAAGAGACTGAGCAATTGTTTTTTGGGTAGATGACACTGGAAGTAGTGATTAAATATTCCCAAACTCAAGACGTCTAACATGTTCACAAAAGTACATTCCATCTTTAATATAAACAATTATATGCACTATGATGTATATATTAATTAAACAGTAATGTCCAAAAATTGTCTACTAGTTACATGGAATAACGAGCACTTGAAATGTTGCTGTCCAAATAAAAATATGAAGATTAATATGAAAAACACACCAGCTTGACAATTTTGAGTGTATATATACAATGTATACATACTGTATGTATATATAAATGTAGTAATGGATTAACCAAGATATATATATATCAGATTGACAATTTTATGTATGTCGTATATATTAGTGTTTGTATATATACCCATATATATTAATGCAGTAACGTGTTAACCAAGATATATGTATTTATAGATATATTGTTCAGTGCTAATGTAGAGAATAAATGATGGGAACAATGTTAAGATATACATATATGGAAAACATTTATGGTATGATAAAAAAACATAGAAAAAATCCATTCCTTCGAAAGTGGCAAAAAGAATTTAAAATATTCCTTTCTCAATTTACAAAGCTATTTAAAACTTCAAGGGAAATTTACTTTGTAGAAAAGCTAACTAAAATTGCAATTGCAATTAGTGAATTTCATACGACTGAGATATTGACAAAATAATGAATTTCATTACAAACAGGCAAATAAAAGTTCTGTATACTTTCAACCAAAATCATGATAGTATACAATGTTAATGGGGGGACGGGAGGAAGGAGCAAATTTTTTTAAGTACATCTAGAATAACTACCGTTTCTCTGGTTTTGTACTATATAAAATACTCAGGATACAATAGTTAGTTTATACCTTAAGGTAAAAAGGCAAAGGTAAAGGCCCTCCCGTTGATCGTCGATTTGCTCGAGCGGGCCCAGTAACGTCTCCATTGGAGACTTTGTTGTTACTGTGTTTGGCATATCGAATACGTCACGGGGAGCTTGCCAGGCTCTGCCATGCGGGCGAGATACTCTCGGTAGCTTAAAATTTTTATTTCACACCCATAATCCTGACCATCAGACAAATGTGTTTATTTCTTCAAAATTTGTAACAATGTTTAAAAGGATTATATTTTAATGTAATCACAGTACATACAGTTTACTGAATATGACTATTACCTTAGTGAAAAGCTGGCCTTACACTATAGTATCATGTTCCAAACTGCTCAATAGATATGGCAGAGAAAGTTATCATATATTCAGTAAAAATGGGAGGGCAATTTGATGGGTCTTGTATACTGGAATAGGTGAAACTCTATCTAAAGTCAAAAGTTGCTTAAATTGGACAGCTACATGCAAAAAAGTGGGCTCAGATCTCTGCCTAAAGCCATGTACAAAAGTAAGATCAAAATGGATTAAAGACCTCAACTTCAGACCGGAATCCATAAGGTACATTGAAGACAAAGTTGGCAAAACCCTCCATGATATTGAAGCTAATGGTATCTTCAAAGATGTCATACCACTGGCCAAGCAAGTGAAAACAGAGATAGACAAATGGAACTACTTAAACAAAGAAGCTTCTGCAGCTCAAAAAAACAGTGACCAAAATACAAAGACAGTATACAGAATGAGAAAGGATATTATTCGCCAAATATACATCTGACAAGGGGTTGATGTCAAGGATATACAAGGTACTGGTTGAACTCCACAAGAAGAAAACATCAAACCCCATCTAAAAATGGGGCGACAAAATGAAAAGAAAATTTCTCAAAGAAGAAATCCGAATGGCTAAAAGGCACATGAGAAAATGCTCTACATCATTAATCATCAGGGAGATGCAGATCAAAACAATAATGAGATATCATTTCACACCACAGAGACTGGCCCACATCCAAAAGAACAAAAGCAATCAGTGCTGGCGCAGATGTGGTGAGAAAGGGACCCTCCTTCACTGCTGGTGGGAATGCTGACTGGTTCAGCCCTTTTGGTAAACAGTATAGACAATTCTCAAAAACTTAGAAATTGAGCTCCCATTTGATCCAGCAATACCACTCCTGGGAATATATCCCAGAGAGGCAAAAAAGGATAGTTGAAGTGACATCTGCACTTGTTTCTTCATTGCAGCACTCTTTACAATAGCCAGAATCTGGAAAATATCTGAGTGCCTGAGAGCAGATGACTGGTTAAAGAAACTTTGATACATTTACACTATGTAGCTGTTAGCAAAGATGAAGTCATGAAATTTACATACAAGTGGGACTACATGGAAAGTATCATGTTAAGAGAAATGAGTGAGAAAGAGAGGGATAGACAGAAAAATGGCGTGCATCTGGGGAACATAAAGTAACAAAATAGGAGACTAACACCCAAGAGTGGCCGAGATTAGTACCAGGAGGTTTGCTCCATGGCTTGGAGGCCAGCCACACATGCTAGGGGAAAAGGAAGCTCAGATAGTGAAGGGAGCATCAAATAAAGGGTGGTGGGAGGATCCTCCCAGGATGGAAGAAGCATGCTGAAAGTAGACTATAGACCAAACATGATTAACACTCAATGCCTCTTTTGCAAACCACAACACCCAAAGGGAGAGAGAGAACAAAAGGGAATGCCCTGTCACAGGGGCAAGGTGGGATGGGGGGTGGGAGGGATACTGGGACCTGTGGTGGTGGAAAATGGGCATTGGTGGAGGGATGGGTATTTGATCATTGTATAACTGAAACCCAAGTACAAAAATTTGTAAGTCTACAACTGAACCTCATGGTGTTTCACTGATAAAAATTAAAAAATTAAAAAAACAAAGTTGCTTAACATAGGGGACAGGAGACAGTATAGCAGGTAGAGAGTGTAACTGAAACCCAAGTACAAAAATTTGTAAGTCTACAACTGAACCTCATGGTGTTTCACTGATAAAAATTAAAAAATTAAAAAAACAAAGTTGCTTAATATAGGGGACAGGAGACATTATAGCAGGTAGGGAGTACGTCTCTGACCCAGGTTTGATTTCTTTGCACTTTGTGTAGCCATGGCGGCCCTCAAGACTGCCAGTACACCTGAGGTATTCTTGGCAATACACGACTCTCGCATTAATCCATCAGTCGTGATAGATAAAAATCACTAGTGGGGCACTGGGACTTTCTGAGCATTACTGCTTGGGAGTTCCCAGAATCAGTATAATAAAAGTATCGTGAAATAATAGAAATTATGAATTTAAAGGATAAAGTGAAAGCAGTGGTACAGGGTTATCTACGTTTAGGTGGTGGGTGTGTTGCTATATATAATCTTGCAAGCCTAAAATAAAAATACTAACATCACTATATTGTATTACTTCAATTATATTTTACTTTACTTGTAATTACATTTACTGTTATAAACTACATAAAGTACTACTGTTATAATTACATTTACTATTATAAACTAAATTATATTAGTTAATAAAAAGTGTCCAGAATAGGGACCAGAGTAATAGAAAAACGGGCAGGGTGTTTGCCTTGCACGTGGTCAACCTGGTTTGATCCATGGCATCCCATATGGTCCCCCTGAGTTCTACCAGGACTGATCCGTGAGTACAGAACAAGGAGTGAACACTACTGACTTAGTTCCCTTTTCCCCCAGAAAGTGTCCACAAGATAGAGAGTATGCAAACATGAAGTAGAAAAAGAGGATTTTATGTCTTAGGAGATTCAAACAAGAGATTTATCTCCTAAAGGTAAATTAAATAGTAAATGATATTAAGAAAGAATATAAACATATAATCAGAAAACGACCAGAGATAAGCATATTGAAATCAATATTTTAAAAAGGAGCAGGATGATGGATGAAGGAAAGGTTGAAAAGCAATCGATAAATTTTTTTAAAAAAAAGCAATGTGAAATTAAGAATGACAAAATCATGAGAGCTGGTATTAAAGGGATATCACGGTCACGGTCCTCCCGTTGTTCATCGATTTGCTGGAGCGGGCCCAGTAACATCTCTATCATGAGACTTGTTACTGTGTTTAGCATATCGAATACGTCACGGGTAGCTTGCCAGGCTCTGCCGTGCGGGCGAGATACTCTCGGTAGCTTGCCGGGCTCTCCGAGAGCGGCGGAGGAATCAGACTCACGTCGGCCATGTTGGCTGTGTGCAAGGCAAACGCCCTACCCACTGTGCTATCGCTCCAGCCCATTAAAGGGATAAATAGTATTAAATATGAGACTGAAAAATCTGTAAATCTGGCAGTGACTGATAAACTATATAGATAAAAGGGAAACAAACAAAAAAATTAGACTAAAAGTCTTTGTTACGCACATAGAAACTGGATAGAGCACTTGTCATGCACACTACTAGCCTGAGTTTGAGCTCTGGTACCCATTGTTCCCCACACATTGCCAGGAGTTATCCCGAAGTGCAGAGCCAGGAGGACACCCTGAGTACTTCCTGGCCACTGTGGTTCAAAAACCAAAAAAAAGAAAAGAAAGAAAAAAGGACATAAAAAGCCATTACAAATTCACAACAAAATTACCTGTGTGAAGCAGAAGAAGGTGTATTTAACATATCTTTTATTTTTTGCTTTTTTCTCACACGACGTTGCTTTACTGGTTTTGGTCTTTTGGGCTGGAGATTAGCCAACTCCATGAGTTTAGTCATCCTACGTTGCATAAAAAGAAAAGAGTTAAGATTTCCTTATATTGAAGCATAGTTCTTTATCAATATTTCTACTGTTAAATCTGTACTTTGGCTTATAAATAACTGACTTGTATTATTTAAATATTTCTAACCCATCAATTTTAGAAGGCAATATTTAGAAGGCCTAGGAGTGGGGAGCAACCCTGGGAATTCTCAGCCTTGTTGGCTATATTTTTTTAAGAGAAACTGTACATATGGTGCTGGCTGGACTCTGTGGTACCAGGACGACCCATACATGCCATTTCAGAAATGCTTAAGTGATTACCTGGTGTCAAGATACTGAACTGCAGCTTGTCACCTGCAAGGCATGTGCTTTAACCCCCAGATTATCTCACCAGACTTTCACCAGAAATCATATCAATTAAGCGAAGTTCAAATCCTATAGATCTGTAAGATCTATACATCTATAAGTCCAAAGATCCTACAAATCTTTGTTCAAGTATTACTCTGAAGGAACTTGGAAAACAATCACAGTTTTTCAATTTTTAAATGAAAGTTTAAACGTAAGATTAGTTTTAACTAAATTATAAGATTGTTGTTCAAACAGAATGTCTAAACACAATATCAAATAGCAAACACGCTATCCTAAAACAATTTATGTAATTTTACAAAGAACTAAAGAGGTATACTAATACAATAATAATTCATATTAATTATTAAAAGAAACTGGGCTTAGAGAATTTTTATTTAAAAATTTCTTTTTCCAAGGCACATGAGAAAATGCTCTACATCATTAATCATCAGGGAGATGCAGATCAAAACAACAATGAGATATCATTTCATACCACAGAGACTGGCCCACATCCAAAAGAACAGAAGCAACCGGTGCTGGTGTGGATGTGGCAAGAAAGGGACCCTCCTTCACTGCTGGTGGGAAGGCCGACTGGTTCAGCCCTTTTGGAAAACAGTATGGACAATTCTCAAAAACTTAGAAATTGAGCTCCCATTTGACCCAGCAATACCACCCCTGGGAATATATCCCAGAGAGGCAAAAAAGGATTATCCACAATTTAAAACACTAAATGTTTCTTGCAAATAACATTACTTTTACAATAAAGTTATCCATTTATTCAAACAAAAAAAAAGAATAGTCTGCACTTGTTTGTTCGCTGCAGTACTCTACAATAGCCAGAATCTGGAAAAAACCTGAGTGCCTAAAAACAGATGGCTGGTTAAAGAAACTTTGGTACATCTACACAATGGAGTACTATGCAGCTGTTAGAAAAGATAAAGTCATGAAAATTACATACAAGTGGTACCACATGGAAAGTTTCATGCTAAGCGAAATGAGTCAGAGAGGGACAGAAATAGAAAGATTGCATTCATCTGGGGAACATAAAGTAACAAAATAGGAGACTGACACCCAAGAATAGCGGAGATAAGTACCAGGAGGAACTTGGAGGCCAGCCGCACATGCTAGGGGAAAAGGCAGCTCAGAGAGATAAGGGAGCACCAAATAAAGGGTGTTGGGAGGATCCTCCCAGGATGGGAGAAGCATGCTGAAAGTAGACTATAGACCAAACATGATTGCCACTCAATGCCTCTTTTGCAAACCACAACACCCAAAGGGAGAGAGAGAACCCAAAGGGAATGCCCTGCCACACGGGCAAGGTGGGATGGGGGGATGGAGGGTTAGGAGGGATACTTGGATCATTGGTGGTGGAGAATGGGCACTAGTGGACGAATTGGTACTCAATTATTGTATAACTAAAACCCAAAGAAGACCTCTCGGAAAGACTGGCAAGCTGCCGAGAGTATTCCGCCCGCACGGAAGAGCCTGGCAAGCTATCCGTTGTGTATTCGATATGCCAAAACCAGTAATTACAACTGGTCTCATTCACCTGACCTTGAAGGCTTCACTGACATGGCAGCACTGAGAAGGATGAGAAAGGAGAGGCCGATAAAATCTTAAGGCCGAACTAGGCTGCCACAACGAAGGAAGACAAAAATGATCGTCTGTACTTTCAATGCAGGTACGCTAGCATCAGATGCATCCATCGAGGACCTGATGGTACAAGCGTGAATGATCAAGTACAACATCACTGGTCTGACCAAGAAGGCACGAATCTCACCATGCCGTTTTCGACACTGGAGAAGAATTGTTCCTCGGAACATGCGATAAAAGAGGTGTCGGAGGCATCGGTGTCCTTGTCAACACAATCAGGGACGCTGTCTCATTTGCCAAGGTGTCAAAAATCAGATGGGCTGGTCAGGTAATGAGATTTAAAGACGACCACTGGACTAGAGCCTTTACCGACTGGATCCCACGGGATGTCAAAAGACCGCGTGGCCGCCTACCTACCAGACGGTCAGACTACTTCATCAAGATCATGAACGATCGGTTTGAGGCTCTTCATGTTCCCAGAACGAACAGATGCCATTGTGCTACACTGGCATGCGACAGGGATGAATGGAGACGTTACTGGTGCCAGCTCGAGCAAATTGATGACTAACGGGAAGTTAAGTGATTAAGTGATTTCATTTAAGTGATTAAGTGAAAACGCAAGCACAAAAACTTGTAAGTCCACAGCTGTACCTCATAATGATTCCCTCTTAAAATAAAAAAAAACTTCTCTTTCCATAATTGTTACAAGTCACTAAGAAATTAATTTGAAGGCAAGATTTTCAAATACTATCTCTAAACTAGCTTTCAAGAAATAAAACAACTGATACCTTCTACATATCTTCTCTTCAGTATGAACATCTAATATTTAGAAGGAATCTTTAGGTATTTTTCTGTCTTCCATAGATCGGACAGCATTTCCTCAGACTAGAAGCTCAAAATTTCCTAGTCATAACTCTATCTTTAGCACATTTGTGAAAATTTGCAAGCTTAATACAAAAAAGTGAAAGGAAGGAGAAAGGGGTAAATTTTAAATTGTTTTTCCTTCTGTGAACAGAAATAAAAATATATACCCAAATTTTTGTCTTTTAAATGGTTTACCAAAATTTTATGAATAAATCCAGATATAAAAAATTATGAATCTACACTCAAAGTCTTAACCAAATTATACTAGTCCTCCACTAGACTGCAAGAGGTACTTTAGGCAAGAATCAGTAACTATCTGCTAATTATGTATAAACCTTTTTCTACTCAACATTTCCAGAAGAGAACAGAGAAGTTTGAAACCTGACTTGGTCACATTAATGCATTGTTCTCAAAATGACTCAACACATAACTATTTGTTGAATTCCTTACTACATCTTTAAATGTAAAAAATCTACGCAAAGTAAGTACAAACATGTAAAAATGATTTGGTCCAGTTAACACAAACTATTATTTTTATAAAGGAAGTGAAATGTATGGATGAAATCAACCCAAAGCAATACTCTATACTTAACTCAGGACTAAGTTAAAGATCTTCCTGCTTTCTAAAAGGTGTCTATATCTAAGGTATACTCATTCTCATTTTATAGTTTCAAGTCCCACTATGATTTGACCTTTTTCCCCAGTAGAATATACGCTGAGTTACTATTTAAATTGATATCCAGTAATAATCAAAATGACTAGTGAAAATAGTCAACATATTAGTCTATGTTGATCAAATGTTCTGCTTATGTTTTGACTTATGTTAAACTATTAATTATCTGATTTCGTTGCAGTTACTGAATATTACCATGATTTGCCACTATCAATCTTCAAAGTCTGGGAGGGGAAGGAGGATTGCTAAAATTACAGTGTTAGTGCTATGTACTATCAGCTCCCTATATTTGTAAATATAATGTTTTGAGCAATTGTAATTACTGGTTTTGGCATATCAAATACACAATGGATAGCTTGCCAGGCTCTGCCGTGAGGGCAGAATACTCTCGGTAGCTTGCCAGGCTCTCCAAGAGTAATAGAGGCTTTTGGGGCGGCCTCTAATCGCCCTTGTAGGTGTTCCCATGGTTCAAACCATATTTGAACCCTATTAAATATGGTGCGGCAATCCTGGAAGATGGGTATTAGGTGTCTTATAATGGTTCAGAAAGCATCCCAGAGCATGGCGGCGGTTGGGTAGTGGAGGTAGTGGAGGTATCTTGAGTTCATCACGTCAACCAAGACCATCCATGGTAACCCACAGTTCCAAAAGGCCAAATCTAAACATTGGACATGGGAGTATCCCAGTGGACAGTTCCACAACGAAATTGACCACATCATATTCAATCGACGGTTCTGCCTGACTGATGACGCTGTTGTCCCAAAATTCCGAAACGAGATAGGACCACCGTCTCCTTCGTGCAAAATTCTACTTCACAGAGTGTGGAGAAAGGGCTACAAAGTTTAAGAAGAGAACTACCAGAACGACCACCAACTGGGAGTTCTTTGGCACTATTGCTGCAACATGGGAAGATGCCATTGTTGACAACATTGATGAGGAATATGATCGACTGGTTCAGCACCTCCATGATTGTACAAGGAACACCAAGAGAGAGATAGCCAAAAAAAAACCTGTCTACAAAAAATCTTGAGCTTATTCGCCAAAGTGGTTTGGGGCATGCCTCAGGCAACCGCAAGAGAACGTTGGAGTTCGCAAAGCACTGCAGAGATGCCTTCAAGGAAGACCTCAAGGAGAGAAGAGCAGAAGTGCTGGTAGATGCAGCAGAAGCCAGGAAAAGCATTCGTAACGCCCGCCTGTCCTTTGCCAACTACAAGACCAAGATGACTGCCCTCCGACGTCCTGATGGATCTATCACATCTTCCAGAAGGGCAATGGAGAAGATTATCCATGACTTCTACTCATATCTCTTTGATAGCCACGTCCACCTGCCCACATACCAAAATCCGCAGGATGGATATGTCGTTCCCACCATTCTCCTTTCCAAAATTCAACACGCCATTTCATTAGTAAAGAGGCATACAGCACCCGATCCAGAGGAGGTCAGACCTGAACACCTGAAGAATCTGCCGTGAGTACTCGTCAATACACTGTCTCGTCTCTTCATACGCTATCTGTCTGAATGCAAGTTTCCGTCCCAGTGGAAAACCAGCAGGCCTGTACTACTGTACAAGTAGGGAGACATCCATGACATTGGCAACTATCACCCAATATGCCTATTGTCTGTCATCTACAAGCTGTTCACTCGAGTCATCCTAAATAGGATTGGCAGAACACTAGATGAAGGACAACCATGTGAGCAAGCTGGTTTTCGAAAAGGATTCAGCACAATTAACCATATCCACACGATAACCAAGCTCTACTCTATGGCTACTTTCCCAGAGCATCTTAGCCCTATACAGCAAATGTTTAGCAATTCTGAGATCAGACTAAGGATTATACAATCAACATTATTAACAACATAGTAATCTTGGCAAGAACTTTAAAAATATATGCAGATCAACAACAAAAATAATACAGTAACTTTTCCACTGCAGTTAGTATGAATCATCTTTTATAAAATTCATAAAATTGTTTTAAAAATTATTGAGATGAATTCAAGAAACTCAGTTGACCAATACGAATACAAATCTATGCCTGTTCCCATTGAGATATTTATGCTCTAAAAAGATTCCAGTAACATTTAATTAGCAAATAAAGAATCATAGTCCTAATGGAAATTTGGGATTAGGTGCCTGCAAGCATCTACTCACATCTCATTAATCAATCTAACACAATACCTTACCTTGTGTGTTAAGGTTAAAGGACACCTATTTTCAATACACAATTTTAATCACATTGCTCTCTTAGCAGCATTATAACCCATGTCTTAGCAGGCTTATCTAGATGTACTTTCTTATATAGATGTACTTTCTCCATAGGTCTGTCATAGCTTTCTATATCTTGAGAACACTAGGCAGCACTTCACCACTTTGTAGGTCATTTTGAACAGCAAAATACCAACAGCACAAAAATATGCGATGTGGTACTAACTAGACTACAGAAAGGACTTTTGCTTGTAGCACGAATGCTGGACAGAATGGCAACACATGATCTACATCATTTACAACTAGCATGTTAACTACCCAAATGTTTCACTATTCTACCAATCATCGTCTGTGCAAAACAGTACAGATTTTGAAATTACAAATATCATTAGGAGATAGGCAATCTTGCAAATATAAAACCTATAAAGAATACTTTTATATTTTATAATACCAGAAATATCTAAAACTACTATGCATAATCCAAGAATTTTCTTTTGGTCTGCATAACAAGTCTTAGATAATTAATAACCACTACTACATATATTTGAGGGTTTGAAGGGAAGGGGACAGACTAATGCTAAAGACACCAAATAATAAAATTTATAAGAATGTTAAGGGTGCCTCATATTCAGTTTCTTGTAATCTAAACAAATATTAATTGACACTACAAACCTTTGTCGGCCTTCTTCATCACTGCTTTCATATTCTGATTCTTTACTAGACAATTCCTCATCCTCCTCTGGCAAAGGAGGCTCCTCTGGTGGTTGAGGAGATGTAGGTGGAAGAGGTGCATGCAATGGCATGTAGTCTTCATACTAATGAGAAAGTAAAGAATAAAATTATAGAACTGTTTATTTATAGAACAGAAAAAGCATTTTCATTCAGATACAACTATTTTATCTTCATCTCATGATCTGAAATTTTCCCTCATATATTTTTGTTTTGATGAAAAAGCCTTTCCACAGAAGCGATAGCACAGCAGGTAGAGCATTTGCCTTGCACAAGGCCAACCCGGTCAGCCAGTGTTCGATTCTTCCGCCCCTCTCGGAGAGCCCTGCAAGCTACCAAGAGTATCTTGCCCACACGGCAAAGCCTGGCAAGCTACCTGTGAGGTATTTGATATGCTAAACACAGTAACAAGAAGTCTCACAATGTTACTGGGCCCGCTCGAGCAAACTGATGAACAACGGAAAGACAGGGACAGTGACAGTGATATTTTTGTCTATTTTAGTTGCAAAAATTGATGAAATGTGCATAATGATTTATACATAATACTGAAGTGATCTGGGGATGAGAGTATAGTATATTGGGTAGGGTATTTGCCTTGTAAGCAGCTAAAATGGGTTTGAACCCATATATAGTCCCCCAAGCCTGCCAGAAGTGATCCCAGAGCACAGCTGGGTATGATATTCTAAAAAAACCAACAACAAATGAAGTGATTTCACAAGCAAACTGTAAAAAATAAACATAATGGAAATATTACTTTCAAGTTAAACAGATGTGATGACACCACAGACGACACCGTAAATGACCATCAAAATTTAGAACAGAATGCCACTCTTTACTACTAACCTAAACTTGGGGCTAGTTTTAAAATGTTCCTGGAAACAAACTTTGCTACTCCCTCTCAATGGAAACGGTGGGCTGGTTCCTTTCTGAAAACACATTTCTGTAGTGATGGCTTAATACACATGGAGAGAGTATTTGCTGTGGCTAACACCAGCTGATCATCAATTTGTTTTTTCTACCTCGGCATATAGCTGGACCAAATTTTCAAATGTTCTGTACATTTGAATTTCACCCTGTAAATAGGGCTGAGCTAACAGAAGTTCATAAAAAACTACCATACATAAAATTTTCTTCTACTTGACTTGTAGTATGCATGGTAATGTTGTCACCAACTTTGAAATGCAATGTAAATAGTAAAGATCTTGAGACTGACCCAAGCAGAATAAACCATCATTCTTTCTACTTCACGAATGGATTAATAGAGTGTGCTAAGTGACTGGAATTTGAGTTTTATTTATTAATAGCAGCTAGCGTAATTTTAACTAATATCTCAATCCTCCAGGTACTAACAGTCGCTTATACTCCCAACTCTGGTCTTCAGGAATAACTCTGAACAGGAGACCGTAAATACCGCCAGGAAACAAAACAGCTGTATGCAAGGCAAGTGCTTTAACCTTGTACTATTTTTCCAGTCAAGAGCAACATTTCTATTTAAAAGTCAGCACTCAAACATATTATTATCCACACTAGTACTAAGGGTACTTAGCAAAGTAGTAACTAAAATTATTCAAAATCAAACAGAGTCTACTATAGAAACAGGTTTATTCACTAAATCAAATTGAAAAAAAAAATAAAAAGACATCTTTCCCTTTATCTGTAAAAATACTTTATCTTTCTTGCATGATTTTGAGAAAAATAAGGGTGCAATGTTGTGATAATGGTGGTTTTCACTCCCAAGTGCATCTTTCACACTCTGCTTTTTTTACATTTTCATTTTTCCACTTGACTGTGACACTTACAAAATATATATATATTTGCTCCTTATCTTCCATGGTATTAAGGGAAATTTTGTAAAATTGAGCTTCAATACCATCCCAGGAAGAGAAAGTTTGAATCCCCAAAATTCTAATAGCTTTCTTACCATGGGAGGTCGTGCAGTAATTGGTCCAAAAGGAGTGGGCAAGTTCATTTTATTCATAAGATGAAGCACCTTAAAGAGGTAAACATTAAAATTCACATAGTAAGATAATTTGACTGACACCTTACAGACTTAAAAACTTTGTAATAACATTATCGATGAATTTAGGAAAAAGAATGATCTGCATCTTGCTTTATAATCCCCAACAGGGTTTGAAACTGGTCCTATTATTCTCATTACTAAAAATGCCATGTTCTTGAAATGTACAATCAACTTAAATATTAAGTCTTTACTCACCACCATAAAAAGAAAATAATAACTGCCAGGAATTTTATTTTGCAAAGTAATTTAAGATTATTTGCACTAATAATAACATAATTTTAACCTTATGTATGCCAATTAGACTAAAAATTCATGTCTAAATTGAACAAGCATTTTTTGAGGAAACAAAGTTTTACTCTACTTACCTGTACATAGAATTTAGGTACACTTGCCAAAGCATTTACTATGTTTGCTAGGATTGTGCTTGAAGGTGGTGGGTACATGTACTTGAGGCATGAGTTCAGAGGAAAAGTCAGCCTAAAAAAAATTTTTTTAAATGCTCAACTGATTTTTTTTTAAGTTTTACATCAACAACCAATTTTAAGCAATCTGACAACACAAAAATTGCTTTAATTCAGTAATCTTAGACTTTTCTTGTTCTTATTAGATTCAAGTGTAATAACTCAAAAGAAAAAATAAACAAAAAAACAAACAATACTTTCATTTGTTTGTGAGGATGGCTGAAGGAGTTCATCAGGGCTTATTCCTGGCTCTGTGCTTAGGAATGACTTCAGACATGGTTCAGGGTATCATCTGGGGTTCCACAGATTAAACCCAGGTTAGTCACACGCGAGGCAATGCCCTACTTGCTGTACCATCACTGTAGTACTGTGGCACTGTCCTTCCTGTTGTTCATCAATTTGCTCGAGCGGGGATGAGTAACGTCTCCATTGCGAGACTTGTTACTGGTTTTGGCATATCGAATACCTCACAGGTAGCTTGCCAGGCTTTGCTGTGAGGGTGGAATACTCTCGGTAGCTTGCCAGGCTCTATGATCCATAAAATAAGATTCCTTTTCTTCTGTTTTTTTTTTTTTGAGGGGTGAAGGGAGGCTCTGGGTCCGTTCAGCAGTGCTCAGGGCTTACTCTTGGCTCTGAGTTCAGTGATGACTGCTGGTGGGGCATGGAAGATCATATGGGGTGCCAGGGATCAAACCTAGATCAGCAGAGTGCAAGGCAAATACCGTACCTGCTCTACTATTTCTCTGGTCCCCCAAATACTTTTATTTCTTATCAGAGATTATTTTATGGCCCTAAATACTGCAACCAAATACTGTAATAAAATCTTATAGCTCAAAATTTTAATAAGCATAATACAGGGTAGTCATAAAAATATTTTTAAAACTGAACACAAATACCTAGAACAACGAAACAATGAAACCAAAATAACAGAATACAAACAAAAAACACTAACCCATGGTTTGGCGCAATCCCATTTTCTATGGTTAAACAGCCAAGATCTTTTTTACCTTTATCATCTTCCACAGTGTCATCAGACCTAGAAATACAGAATCAAAGTTGATCTTACCTTTGATCAAGGCATATTTCTCAATCATGGCATTAGGGAAACAGTTCTGTAATAACATGCACACTCATGCTAACAATGAAAGGGAGACAGAGTTGACCTTTACCAAATTCCATCTTTAATCCAGATGTAAGACAAATTTTTATTTGTTTTTCACAGTAACACTATTAAGAGGGTAAAATATATACTGGCCACACACACAAAATTTACAAAGTCTTAAACAATGGCGCTCAAATTTCCTTAATAAAGTTCTCTATAGGTTTTGTTAAAACCTACGTAGAATTCTTCGTTTCCCACATTTTCAATTCAACATCAATGGTAAGGATCAGGAATGTGCATTTCAAATTAAGAACTGAGATGCTGCTGACCCAGGGACTACACTTCAAAAACTATTAGTGCAAATTAAATTTGTAAATGTTATGAAACTGCAAGCAGTATTTTTTCATAGTTACAAATATATGTTAGAGGCGTATATGCTACCCGAGCCCATGTGCTGCTTGTGCCCGCACAACAGAGTACATGTGTCACACACATCTCCCCTCTTGAGATGTGTACTTTCATGCTTTCGTGTCTAATGCTGGAATGTGTCTAGGAGCTCTCTCTGCCCTTGAAAGAGCCCAAGTTCTCTCTTGAGCGCATTACTCTCTCTCACTCTCCCTCGACACCTTCAAAAACCTATTTACTATTTACTTCAAAAAACCCAAATATAGGTTAGTGCTGAATACCCAACAACAGTCTTTAAACTCATGACTATAACCCCAGTTATCGCTGAATTTAAACTAATCACCAATGAAAATGTTTTTTGCCCCACTCTCTTTTCAGTCCACAAAGCTTATTTCTTATTAATAAATCAGGTTCCTAATGAACACTTAGATATAACAGATATTTCCTTGTCAATCTGAAAAGTTTTTTTTAAAAAGTACTGCTAACAAAAGCTTTGAAAATAATAGAATAACCTAAGTATTCTACATACCTTTTCTTTTTTTCAGTGCCTGAGGAAGTACATGGGGAATGAATTCCATCTTGCTCTTTTGCAAATTCAACAACCAAAGTGTGACCCAAAAGTTTTAACTGATGGAGTCTTGTCAGTGCCTTCAATTAAAAGAACAAGAGTTAAAAATTGTTATTAGCTGTATCAAAAGAAACATATTTTAGGGACATCACTGTCACCGTCCTCCCATTGTTCATCAATTTGCTCAAGCAGGCCCAGTAACGTCTCCATTGTGACACTTGTTACTGTGTTAGGCATATCAAATATGTCACGGTAGCTTGTCAGGCTTTGCTGTGTGGGCGAGATACTCTCGGTAACTTGCCAGGCTCTCCAAGAGGGGCAGAGGAATCGAACCTGGGTCGGCTGGGTCAGCCATGTTGGCTGCGTGCAAGGCAAACGCCCTACCTGCTGTGCTATCGCTCCAGTCTGTCTGTCTGTCTGTCTGTCTGTCTGTCTGTCTATCTATCTATCTCAGTGTTAAAACTTCATTCACTATCTCTAAGCAATTCTTTACCACAGGCTGTCATGTCCTTTATTCTTCAGGGACTGTTTCCCATCGCCTACCAAAGCTAAATCAGGTTAAATCTATGTTTGCTCTATTGAACCAGCTTAAAATGATTAAACAACGCATCACTTGATAATCCCTCACAGCAAGCCAGGACTTTGCAAGGAGTTAAATGAGCACCACTAGGTGTGGCCAATTAAAAATAAATACAAAGCCAAATCAACCTGGACTCATTTTGAACTAATGACTACAACCAAATATCCAGACATGCCCTAAACAATATCAGTAATTACTTAACTCAGTTTATTTTTCTACCCATTTCTAGAACAATATTTTATACTTCCTCTTCATACTTTATCACCCCACCACCGCTACCCCCAATTTCCTTAGCTTTGAACTATTCTAACTTTTGTAGAAACTGAATTTTCCAAACTTCCTACTATAATTCTCCATCTACCAGCATCTGAAGCAATGTATTCTACCTTTTGTTATCACATAATAAATGTAATTTAGAGATATTTGCCTGACATATTAAATTCCATCTTCTCTCATCCACAAGGGTATTTCTTACACTCTCTATAATAGGATTAAAAGGAGATGCCATTTTCACCTACAGCAGAGTGGTAATTTTCTATGAACAATACACATCAGCATACAAACATGCTTCTATTTCTCCCATTTCAATTTTTTCCTCCATCTACTGATCCTGCGTACTAATGCCCAACCCTACATTTTTGTCTCACAATAAAACTTAAGATTAGTTAAGCCCCTAAAATTGCCCTCCCATCCATTCTGGCCTATGCCTTCAACTGATGCTGGTTTTGACAGTACAAATCAAATTATGTAATGTTGTTAATGGTAAATCCTCAGTTTATTATTTTACTTCATTTAACAATATTTATCATTTTTCTCCTTGATATTTCCCCCTCGCTGCATACGTCAGGCTTTCCTACAGATTTCTTCTGAGCTCAGATTTCTTCTGGTTTCTAATCTTCAATCTCTTTGATTGGGATCTTCTCAAACTTAATGTTGGGTTAAGAGCTCTCGAAGTAGTTCTCTTTATTTTTCTGGTAAGCAACGTAAAATCAAATACTTTCTCTCAATTGATGATTCCCAATATATAATTTTGCCCTAAACATCTATCCTGATCCACGGACATATATCCAAATTATACTGCATTGCTCAGGTTAAGTGTCTAATAAATATCAAAATCAACATGTTAGAAATGTTGAATGGATAAATAAACCACTTATTTCTCCTCATCCTCCCCACAATGTTCTCTATCTGCAGATTTCCCCAATTCTGTTGATAGTAATGCTCTTTTCCACTTTGGTTAAAAATCTTGGACTTGCCCTTCATACCTTTATATATTAAAGCTATCAAGAAATACGGTCTGTTACCTTCAAAATTAACCTCAAATCTATATCATCTTCTCTGTTACTACTATGATCCTGTAACAATCACCTCTGGATGTAAATTCCATAATATTTTAATAATTCAATGTTTTTATTTCTTCCCCATTTCCCATCCATTCTCAACATAACAGCCAGGTAATCCTTTTTACAAACGCAAATTATGTTGCTTCTTTGTTCAAAATACTCCACTGGTCCCTACTTTATCCAGATCACAATTAAAAATAATTGGGTAAGAGAAAATATTAATAGTATACAAATAGCCATACCTTTATAGCTGCCTTTTCATTAGGGAAAGTAGCAAAAGCTGTATGTTTCTGAAAAAAGAATTAAGATACAAACTGTAATTACAGTATCTCGTACGAAAATGTGCAATATAATTAGCAGACTTAGTTGCCACATTCATACAAATGTCAAAAAGAGAAAATTGAGATTCAAAACAGAGGCTTTGAATCACTTTTATATTAAACTTAAAATGAAAACTGTGTAGTCTTTTTCATATAAAGTGAGCATTCAGAGCATATTCTACATGTATTTCCGAACAGTTTGACTAGAAGTTTAAGTCCTGAAATGCCCAAACATGTAAAACATCTCTCATTCATAACAAATCTAAAGGTCTTCAACTTGCCTCCTCAGAGTCCAACACAAAAATTCTCATTAAAAGAAAATCACTGTTCAAGGGCGGTGGTTCTCAATCACTGCAGACATGGCATTTTAATCAAAACCGACCAGAGTAAGTACACTGATCTTCAAACTGGCAGTAACAACTGGCAGCAACAACTGTTGAGATCCAGTGTGGTTTTCAATCTTCCACGCCTGACATCCAACACAGGTGAGTGGATCAGTGGTGGGAAAACCGCTGATCTATCGCTGTTTCCCTTATGCTTTACTATTGTAATCTGGGTGCCGTGAAAGGTCAGTTTTTTCCTTGGTGCTGATGTCATACAGCATTAACACAGGCAAGTGTACCCAATGTAGGTGCTCTACCCCTGAGCTTTTAAATACTCCAGCCAAGGAGTATCTATTTTTAAACAGAGCCACTATTATGTGTAAAATGACAGAAAAGAACCCAAGTAAAAATAAAGTAAGTTCGGCTAAGGAGGTTTTTTTTTTCAAAGCTGTTCATGATTGGATTTCAATCATACAGTATTCCAACACCCATCCATTCAGCAGTGCCTGCCTGCCTCTATGGCCAACACTCTCTCCCTCTCCCCCCCCATCTCTCCAACACATGCCCCCCTCATATTTTTCAAAGCGTTTACAACAAGCTTGCGTAATTATACCACGTTCTAATTTTATATAACAGTGCAAGATGACCTAATTAAGTGCACTTAAGTGCACTCAACCGAACCACACAGATTTTTCTGTATCTGCTAGGGCAGACATGGCATTTTAATCAAAACCGACCCTCTCAATGACTGGAAACGCTAGCTGCAGAGTGAAAATCACCTGTGTGATACTTGAAAACCAACGACATGCGACCCTGTCAAGGGCTGTCTCTCGCATAAACTTATCAGTGGCACTCTTCAAATGGAGGAAACCCACCCAAAACACCTTCACATAAAATAAAGCTCGTCACTGTGTCAATTCGTGCGTGGGGACTTCTAGTAAGTCTTCAATGAGCTCGCTCAAGGATTCTGTAGGCGAATTCCTCAGAACTTGATAATAATAAAAACGATTCACGAGCAATCCTAACTCGGTTGCCCCCGGGTCACGACCCAAGTGGCGCCGCTATTTCAACGAAGCCGGGCGTTTGCCAAGGACGACTTCGTTCCTCAGGAACACTCTGAGAGGAAACGCAAAAATGCAGTTTGCACCACACGTCAAGAAGTTTCGCGATTTTTTCTGTTTTTTTTTTTTTCCAGGACGGGTTGAACGAGGATGGCACCATCTTCCACTCTCCTCTGCCTTGCTCGCTTGCCCTTCCGTGCAGCCCTGAGAGACTAAGCCGGGCTCGAGGGAAAAAAAAAAAAAAAACTGAACACGACGCGCGAGCTGTTTTGACATTTTTGTTTCCCCACGCCTGTGAGAGCGACGACGGGGCAGCGCTCACGACGCCGGAGGCGCGAAGCACCGTCCCCGCGCCGCCCGGTTTCGAAGTCCCTCCCGCCCAAGGTCACAGCTACGGAAGGGCCTTCCCCGCGGGCGGGCGGGCGACGAGCGCGCACTCACCAGTCGCCCTTTATCGGACAGCACCCGGACCGACTGCGCCCCGAAGTACTTGAGCAAGTCCTCCTTCTCCTCAGCGCTCAGCTCGGCGGGTAGGTGCCGCACGAGAAGGGTTCGGTCGCCGCGCGGCGGGGACAGAGCAGAGCTCGGGCATCCTCTCGACAGGGGCAGCGGCTGCTCGGGGACCGCCATTTCCCGAGAAGTGCCGAGAGGAAAGCGGAGGGAGCCGAGACGCCGAGACCGCGGCGGCGATGGCAACCTCCCGAGCTAATAATACTGATTTTTTTTTTCCGCCTGGCGCAAAGGATTCTGGTCTACAGGGAAAGGCCGCGCGAGGTCGTCGTACTCTCGCGAGACCGGCAACGAGGAGGCGGGTCCCCGCCGGAGACTCGTTCCTCAGACCGAGAAGCGCGGTTTCTCCGTGAGAGGAAGCAGAAAGCGGTTTAATTGCCAGGTACTAAGCACTGTATTTAAAAGGAAAAAAATCTCCGGAGAGAAGCGTGCGGGTTCAAAAAAGACGAACGAGAAAGTTCAGGCGCGTGCGAGAGAAAAGACTACAAACATGGACGGACGGAAAGAGTCGCTGTTGCGCATGTGCCGGAGGGCGGAGCTTCGGGGCGGGGCGGGCGCGGTCTGCAGCCGCCGAGCCCCGACTCGGGGGCAGGTTTCGAAAGTTCCTGGGAGCGTCTCGAAGAGAGCGGAGTTGTGGTCTTACTGCGGTATAGACCTATACGCATAACAGCGTTTGTATAGTGAAACCCAACGATGCACTTTCCTCCGTCGAGTGAACTGTGTGTGTGTGTGCACGGAGGCAGGGGTAGCTTAAGGAGCAGCAAGTGAGCTGATACCTGTGGGTGGTTCTTGGAGAATCCCCAGGGCACAGAACTGCCCCGTAGACTTGCTGTGCAGGGTTTGAGGAGACCGAAGAACCGTCTAACGTGGGCATTTAGCACTATCCTCCCGTTGTTCATCTGTTTGATCCCCGGCGGGCACCAGTAACTTCTCCACTGTGAGACCCGTTGTTACTGTTGAATATATGTGTATATTCGTTTTGCATCCTTAGAACAACCTCCCCTCGCCCCTCCCCCCCCTCCTTAAGTGTCGGTGCTGCGCCCCATTTGACCATTTAACTGATACACGAGGTTGCGGTCACCTGCTGGCAAAAGACACAGCCGGGATTTGGCCCAGAATGACTGGGCTTGGTGCTCAGTTGTACTTCTCTGCCTGTTTTCTGCAGGGGAGAGGTTTCTTGGGCTCCATGCCACTCGAGCCTTGGGGATTCAGAGAACTGTATTACGTTTTGGGTTGTGGGTTTTTTGCAGTTTTTCTGTCTTGTTTTTCAGAGAGTTGTATTAGTGTATGAGTAGCCACTATGATCTGGAGGCCAGGTTGCCTCTTTTTGTTGTTTTCATTTTTAATACAGCCACCCCATCCTCCAATTAAAAACAAATCTCAAGGATGTGTTCATCTCCTGACACTATTTCTAGGCTAGTCGTCGTCTTCTTTTTTTTTTTTTTCTTTTGGGGTCATATCCGGCAATGCACAGGGGTTACTCCTGACTCATGTACTCAGGAATTACTCCTGGAGGTGCCCTGAGGACCCTATGGGATGTTAGGGATCAAATCCAGGTTGGCCGCATGCAAGGCAAGCACCCTACCCACTGTGCTACTGCTCCAGCCCCAGACCAGTCTTCTTTACCCCTCTTTTCCCTGGCCATGAATATCCATCTAATGAATGCAATTATTCTATATCTTATCTCTCCTAACTCATTTCACTCAGCATGATACTCTCTGTGTCCATCCATTTAAAGGCAAATTTCATGACATCTTTCTTCCTAACAGCTGCATAGTATTCCATTGTGCAGATGTGCCATAGTTTCTTTATCCATTCATCTGTCCTGGGTCAGTCAGGTTGTTTCCAGATTCTGGGCTATTGTGAACAGTGCTGAAACGAATGTAGGAGTGCAGATGTTGTTTCTTCTTTGTGTTTTGGAGCCTCCAGGGTATTTTCCCAGAAGTATTGCTGGGTCAAATAAGAGCTCAATTTCTAGCTTTTTGAGGAATGTACATATTATTTTCCAAGAAGTCTGGACCAGTTGGCATTCCCACCAACAATGTAGGGGAGTACCTTTCTCCCCACATTCATGCCAACACTGGTTGACTTGTTCTTTTAAATGTGTACTAGTCTCTAATGGTGTGAGATGATATGTCATTGTTTTGACTTGCTGATGATTAGTGATGATCATTTTTTCATATATATTTTGTACATTAGAATTTCTTCTTTGAGGAAGTTTCTCTTCATTTCTTATCCCCATTTTGATGGGATTGAATGTATTTTTCTTGTGAAGTTGAACCAGTGCCTTGTATATCTTTGATATTAACACCTTATCAGAAGGGTTTTGGATGAATAAACTTTTCCATTCCATAGGTTGTCTTTGTATCTTGATCACTGTTTCTTTTCTGTTGCAGAAGCTTCTTAGTTTAAGGTTGTTCCATTTATTTATCTTTGCTTCCACTTGGTCAGTGTGGTGTTTCATCATGAAGATAACTTTAGCTTCAATATTGTGAAGAGTCTTGCCTATATTTTTCTCCATGTACCTTATAGATTTGGGTCTGGTGTTGAGGTGTTTAATCCATTTTGTCTGTCTTTTGTGTATGGGGTTAGACAATGACCTGAGCCCATTTTTTTGCATGTATCTGTTCAGTTTTGCCAGCACCACTTGTTAAAGAGGCTTTCCTTTCTCCATTTCATATTTCTTGCCCCCTTTTCAAAAATTAAATAATCATATATTTAAGGATATGTGTCAGGATATTCAACCCAATTCCATTAGTCTGCATATCTGTCTTTATTCCAGTACTGTGCTGTTTTAATTACTATCCCTTTGTAGTTTGAAGTTGGGGAAGGTAATGCCTCCCATCTTCTTTTTTACCAAGGATTGCTTTAGCTAATTGTGAGGGTTTATTGTTTCATATGAATTTCAGGAGTGTTTTGGAAAACTGTCATGGATATCCTTATAGGGGCCATATTGACTCTATATAATGCTTTGGGAAGTATTGCCATTTTGACAATGTTAATTCTCCCAATCCATGAGCAGTGGATGTGTCTCTATTTCCTTATGTCTTCTTTTTATTTCTTGATGTTATGTTTTTCAGTTTTCATTGTACAGGTTCTTTATCTCTTAGGTAAGTTGGTTCCGAGGTACTTGATTTTCTGAGGCACTATTGTAACAGGATTGCTTTTATAATATTACTTTCTTCTCTTTCATTATTTCCATATTGGAAAGCCATGGATTTTGGGGTACTGATTTTGTAACCTACCGTTTTACTATAAAAATCTATTGTTTCTAGGAGTCTTTTTGTAGAGTCTTTAAGGTTCTCTAAGTATAATATCATGCCATCTGCAAATAGGGAGAGATTGACTTCTTCTTTTCTTATCTGAATGTCTTTACTATATTTTTCTTCCCTAACTGCTATGGCAAGTACTTCCAGTACTCCCTGATCTTAGAGGAAAGGTTTTTAGTTTGTCCCTATTTAGAATAATGCTAGCCGTGGGCTCCCGGTAGATGGCTTTGACTATATTAAGGAAAGTTCCTTGAACTCCCATTTGATGAGAGTTTTCATCATGGAACAAATACTGGATCTTGTTAAATGCTTTTTCTTTATTAATATGGTTTTATGTTTTTTATTGATATGATGAATTATGCTGAATGACCAGGGGATGTTAACCCATCTTTGCATCCCTGGGAAGAATCCCACTTTGTCATAGGGCAATAGCACAGCGGTACAGCGTTTGCCTTGCACGCAGCCAATATGGCCGACCCAAGTTCGATTCCTCCACCCCTCTTGGAGAGCCTGGCAAGCTACCGAGAGTACCTCGCCTGCACGGCAAAGCCTGGCAAGCTATCCGTGATGTATTTGATATGCCAAACACAGTAACAAGTGTCACAATGGAGACGTTACTGGGCCCGCTCGAGCAAATTCAACAGGAGGACCGTGACCGTGAATGATCTTTTTGATGAGATGCTGGATTCTATTTGCTAATATTTTGTTGAGGATTATTGCATCTGTGTTCATCTGGGATATCAGCCTGTAATTTTCTTTTCTTGTGGTTTCTCTATCTGCTTTTGGTCTCAGGGTGATATGCATCTCATATAAACTGGGAGTGTTTATGTTTCTTCAATTTCCTGGAAATGCTTTAAAAGGACTAGCAATAGGTCCCTTTTAAAGGTTTGGAAGAATTCACTAGTAAATCCTTCTGGACCTGGGCTTTGTTTTTGGGAAGACTTTTGATTACCATTTCAATTTCCTTGATAGTGATAGGTCTGTTCAGATATTATATATCTTCTTTATTTAGCCTTTGGAAGTTAAAGGAATCCAGGAACTTATCCATTTCTTCTAGGTTCTTTGGTTTCGTGGCATACAGATTCTCAAAGTAATCTCTGATTGTCTTTTTAATTTCTTTGGTTTCTGTTGTGATGTACCCCTTTTCATTTCTGATTCGGTTTATTAGGGTTTTCTCTCCCGCTCTTTCTCTGGAAGACTTGTTTGCGGTTTATCAATTATGTTTATTTTTTCAAAGAACCAGTTCATGGTTTCATTGATCTTTTGGATTGAGTTTTGGGAATACAGTTCATTGATTTATGCTCTATTACTATTTTATTATTTTTATTACTTTATTTATTTTATTTTATTATTATTTCTTTCCGCCTGCCTGGCTTGGACTCCTTTACTTGGTCATTTTCTAGATCTTTAACTGTGAGACTTCTTTATGTGGGCCCTTTCTTCCTTCCAGTGAGTGCTTCTAGAGCTTTAAACTTTCCTCTTAACACGTCTTTAGCTGTGTTCCACAAATTCTGGTAGCTCGTGCCCTCGTTCTCATTTGTTTCCAGGTATTTTTTGATTTTTTCTTTGATTTACTCTTCAGTACCACCCTCGAGAACTTCATGCGACGACTGGAATGGGAAGGAATGGGAGTGAAGATAGATGGTCGGCAACTATACTACCTCCGCTTTCCTGATGACATTGTTCTAATAACACAAACATTAGCCAAGTGGCACAAATGCTGGCCAACTTCAACCGTGAGTGTGGAAAGGTCAGACTACAGAATCTTATGAAGACAATGTTTATGAGAAACAGCCTCGTTCCTGATGCTCCATTTGCTCTAACAGAATGACCATCTCTGAATGCAACACTTATGTGTACCTAGGT